CTGTCTGTAAGCAAAAAAAAGATCGACACCCCCCCCCCAGTGCCCATGTAAGGGAAGTGTCACTATCCAGCATGGTTTTTAGGGTGTTAATAATACGTTGGACTAAGACTTCCAGGAAAATTGTGACTTGAAGGGAGCACTTTTTAAAAGCTCCAGACTTATCTCACTGTTGGACATAATATGCCAGGGAAGGGGAGTATTTATTACTCTATCTTTGGCATACTGCAGTTTCCTCAAGAAGTCTGTTGTATCATGGACATAGCTGGGGGTATTAATAATGTATTGATAATAAAGACTGAAGTCTTTGCATATGTCAAAACATCTTAATTAAGTTGTATGCTAATTTGCTGTTCACCTATATAGAAGAATCTGTGTGTGTGTGTGTGTGTGTGTGTGTGTATATATATATATATATATTGTGTATGTGTATATATATATATGTGTGTGTGTGTGTGTGTGTGTGTGTGTATATATATAAACAACGTCCATCTCGATGTATATGAGGAAACATGCATTCACACGAAAGCTCATACCTTGAAAAAACTTTTGTTGGTCTTAAAAAAAGAAGAAGAGATTGGATTTATAGCCCGCCCTTCACTCAGAGTCTCAGAGTGGCTTACAATCTCCTTTCCTTTCCCCTCCCCACAACAGACACCCTGTGAAGCAGGTGGGGCTGAAAGAGCTCTGAGAGAACTGCTCTTGAGAGAACAGCTCTGAAAGAACTTGTGACTGACCCAGGGTCACACCTGCAGCTGCATGCGCAGGAGTGGGGAGTCAAATGAAGCGATGGTCCACCCTCTCTTTAAAAAACCATCTCTGGACCCGGCCAAATTGGCAAACTATTGGCCGGTTTCCAATTTGCCCTATTTGGGCAAACTAATTGAGAGGGCGGTGGTGCTACGGTTGCAGGGCTTTATGGATGACACCTCCATGTTAGATCCCTTCCAGTCTGGCTTTTGCCCAGTCAAACAACAAATATATACACTGCAAAAACCTTATTTATAAGTTAAAGTGTTCTATATGTTCCATCTTATAAAGTGCATTGTGTATTATTCATAATATACTAAAACAGGTATATAATATCAACAATAATAATCAGTTTGTACAATCTAATAGATACCAGTCAATTTACATCCTTTTTACACAATCAACCCCAATAGGAGTTTCTAGAATTGTACACCCGCTTCTCCTTGCTGGACAGTCTTCTAAATGGGGAAGTTTCCTTTTGTGGTTACATTGAAGTTTAAATTGATGTTTGTTGCTGGTCCTACAAAAGGCTGTTAAAAGACATAATTCATGAGTCTAAAAATGATATAATATATCTAATATAACTTGGCTTCATGTAGTTTTCTTACCCCATAAGCAGCTGATAATCATGGACGGAGCGCTCCTATCTTTCTCAAGGCTGCCTAGTATTGACCTTGTTCTCTGGTCATTAAATCTTACAGCACTTGTTAACAGTTCGTATGTGTATGTGTGTTCTCTAATTAAAGTGACAGTAGTGAAAAATGCACATTCCACTTCATAATGCATTTCAGTTCAATAACAAATTGTACTTCGAACTTTGCAGGGGATGTTCTCTCCTTTTTCCCTTAAGGTGATAATCCAGTTCACAGATGACATGAGAGGTCCATTGTTTGGTTCATTCCCTCTGGGGTCGATGTATGAAGCTTGTGTATCCAGAAGTTTTCTTTGCAGAGAAGAATCTTCTTAATGTCTTGTCGGTTGAGGCTTTGGTTCTCATATTTGTAAATCACAAAGAATTTTAAGTCCTCAAAACGATGCTGGACTGACATACAATGCTCCACCATTGGCGCATCCAAAATTTTGTTTTTCAATCTCGATTTATGCTCCATGATATGAGCTTTTAATGATTGTGTTGACTCCCCACATAATATTTTGGACACCCACAGAAGGTTACATAAACAATATTTTTACTGGTTCAAGTAGACAAGTGTGGCAAACGATAATTTTTCAGGTAAGGTTCTAAAGAAAATTCTTTTACTTCAAAGCAATTATTACATATGGAACAGTTTTGCCATTTGAAGTGACCATATGTTTGTATACTATTTTGCTTTCGTGTATGTTGGGTTAGGTTGTTTTGCTCAGGCCATGGCATGGAGACAGCACTGATCGCCCACACAAAGGACCTCCTGAGACTTCTGGATCGGGGCGGATTGGCAGTGCTGTTGCTGTTGGAGCTGTTGGCAATGTTCGTCATGGTTGATCATCAGTTACTGATCCACCATTTCGCCAACACTGGGATTCAGGGGCTTGCCTTGCAACGCCTCGCCTCCTTTCTCCAAGGTTGGGGACAAAGGGTGGCTCTTGGGGATCAGCTGTCCCGAAGTCACCCGCTGATTTGTGGAATGCCCCAAGGGGCAGTGTTTTCCCCAATGTTATTTAACATCTATATGTGCCCCCTTGCCCAGATTGTCTGAAGGCATGGGCTGGGATGTCACCAATATACGGATGACACCCAGATATATCTGTTGTTGGGTGGTCAGTCCGACTCTATGCCAGAAGATCTGGACCTGGCGTTACAAGTTGTGACTGGTTGGCTTAGACTGAGCCGACTGAAATTGAATCCGATGAAGATGGAGGTCCTGTGCCTGAGTCAGAGTTGATCGGGGTTAGGGATCCCACTACTGGCCTTCAATGAAGGTTAGGAGCTTGGGAGTGCTCCTGGATGCCTCCTTAACAATGGAGGCCCAGGTAGCAGCCACCACCAAGTCAGCCTTTTACCATCTTCAGCTGATTAGGCAGCTGGTTCCCTTCCTCGAACGCAAGAAGAAGAAGAAGAAGAAGAGATTGGATTTATACCCCACCCTTCACTGCCCAAAAGTGTCTCAGAGCGGCTTACAAACTCCTTTCCCTTCCCCTCCCCACGACAGACACCCTGTGAGGTAGATGAGGCTGAGAGAGCTCTTGACAGAAACTGCTCTTTTTCAAGAACAGCTGGGCAAAATGCTGCAGTCAGGATGCTGATGGGTCTCCCTGTGCGGGAAGATATCCAGCCTGTGCTGAAGGCATTGCACTGGCTGCCGATAGCGTACCGAATTCACTTCAAGGTGCTGTTTTTGACCTTTAAAGCCCTATATGGTTTGAAGCCTGCTTACCTGAGGGACCGCCTTTCCCCAGAGAGCACTGAGGTCAGGATCTCAAAATCGTTTGGCCCTCCCTGGACCTAAAGATGCCAGGCTGGCTTCCACCAGGGCCTTCTCAGTAGCGGCTCCGTACGGGTGGAATGAGCTCCCAGAAGACATCAGGGCCCTGCAGGACCTCTTACAGTTCTACAGGGACTGTAAAACAGAGCTCTTCCACCAGGCCTTTGATTAGGAGCGGCTTCTAACAATCAAACTCTGGTAAGGCCCTCCATACCATCAGCAGCAGCCTGCAACAGTTTCTATAAATGGTCTGACAAGCTGTTTACCAACTCT